CTTCTCCTCCTCTTCCTTCACCTCCTCCTCCTTCCCCTCTCTTTTTTGGGGTTTTCTTGACCCTTCACTCCCTTCTGCTACACCCAGCCACTATTTCTTCCCACTCCTGAGCCCCTCCAATCTGACCTTCCCCATGGCCCTTGCCCAGGAGGACTCTTTGGCCCCAGACAATCACAGTAGAGGCCATGAAGGAAAAACATGGGCTCAGATGTGGGCCCCGGGGAATTTCTGGATTCCAGCCTCATCTGGCAGGAGAGACTCCTCCTGCCCTCTATGCTCGTGGTCCCATGGTCTCCCATCTGGGAAACCTTTGTCAGCCCTGAGGTGTGTTGGAGGGTCAGGGGGAGCACTGCCCGTGGTCTGCCTCCCTCAGAAGGTGACAGGTGGAGGCCCTGAGGAGACCCAGGGGAAGAGGCAATCTCTGCGATGAGGAGGGGCATCTCAAACTTACTGTAGTTGAACTTGCTGGTCTGCGCCATCATGGGCACTGAGACAGTGCTGCCGTCAGACTTGTGGAAGAGGCGGGGCCGGGTTGCAGCCTCTGGGAAGGGCATCTTCCACTGGCCGTTGAAGTAGAGAGCGTTCACCAGCACCAGGCGCGTCAGCTGGTCCACTGCCCCCTCGCCAAGCAGGTCACTGATCATATCTAGGGAGAGCCAGAGAGGTGAGGTGCTTTTGAAGCTTCTTGGGTGGTTCTCTTCACCTCCTAGCCTTCAAGGGGATGCACATGGATGGGAACCACAGGGCAGACGGGGATAGATCGATTAACCAACTGGGGATTGGACCTAGAGCCTTTGCACCAAGCAACATCCGCTTTGCCAGTGTTTAATGTTGAGACAGGACCTTGCTAAGTGGCCCAGGCTGGGCTTGCACTTGCGATCCTCCTGGCTCAGCCTCCTAGAATGCTGGGATTGCAGGAGTGCCATACCACGCCCAGCTCGAACAGAGTTTTAAATAGACCTATCTCACTGCTTTCCATTTGTTCCGTTTTCTAAGTGTCTCAGGAAGTCTTCTAGCTTGCCACACTCTCTTGGCCCTGGGATCCTGTCCAAGGTCAGAGCTAGAAACTTCAGCTTTGCTTTCCTTCCCTCCTGAACTACTGTGTGTGTGTGTGTGTGTGTGTGTTATTGGGGACTGAACCCAGGACCTTTCACACTGAGCTATATTCCTAATCCCCTTTTAAACTTTTTTTTTAATGTTGCAATAGGGTTTTACTAAATCTTTAAGATTCCCAAGTCACCTTGAGTGTTTGATATGTCCATGTCTTGGTCACTGCTGTTCTTAATGATCTTAGAATACTTTGTAGGGATACCTTTCAAGTTGGTTCATGAGAAAGCCTAACTAGGAAAAATATTAACAAAATGCTTTGAAATTTTTGTTTTGTTTTGTTTGAGACAGGGTCTGGCCGTGTAGCTCAGGCTGGCCTTGAGCCCACTATAAAGTCCAGGCTGGCTTTGAACTCACAGGAATCTTCCTGCCTCAGCCTCCCAAGGGCTGCAATTATAGGCATACACCACTATATGTGGCTCAGCATAATGCTTCTTTTTGTTTTTCTTGCTAGAGATGGGACCCAGGGTCTTTGCACTGAGCTACATCCCCAGCCTTTTCACTTTTTTTTTCTTTTTTTGGATAGCGACTCATTATGTAAACTCACAGTGATCCTTCCTGCCAAAGTGCTGGGATCACAGGTATGGGCCGTGAGGCCCAGCTCTCTTTTCACTTTCTATTTTGAGACAGAATCTTGCTAAGTCACTGAATTGGCTAAGCTGGGCTGAAACTTTAGATTGTCCTGCCTCAGCCTCCCAGAGTGCTGGATTATAGGCAGGCACCACCATCAACTAAATGCTTTGGTTCTTAAAGCTCTGGGCTCACCTGGAAAAGAAGGCTAGAAGAGAGAATTCAGGTATTGGAGTTCCTTCCCTCCAGCCCTGAGACTTCCCCAGCCAGTCGCTCACCTTTTGTGTGCTTCTTCACCCAGTCGCTGATGATGAACCTGGCCCTCTCCACTTCCGTGAAGTCCACCTGCTTGACCGTGGTCCTGAACAGTCGGAAGAAGTAGGGCATGAAGCCCTCGGCCAGCTTCAGGTCTCTCTGGACGAAGATGGCGTCAGTGATGCTGACGTGGTCTTTGTTCCACGGCCCCATGAGCTCCTTGTACACTTGCAGGTGACCGCGGGCCATGCCCTTCCCTGTGTCGAGTGAGACAGACAGGCCATCAGGCTCTCTCCGGACCTTCTGCTCTCTGCCTCTCCCCCCTTTCCTCCCAAGGCTCAGGTCCTAACCCCTTCTTTGGGTTAGATTCTTTTTCCTTGTTCTTAAGTTATTAGTCATTTTTTGAGATGGTCCTTGATAGGCCGGAAGCGATCCTCCTGCCTCAGGCTTCTTGTAGAATTCGCTCCCCCCACCCAGCCAGTATACTTCATTTTGTTAGTTGCCCAGGTGGTAGCTGCTGCTGCAGTTCCTGCTACTTTTGTGTCCTAGAAACAGCTGGTCATTGTGATGCATCTCCTAAGAGCCGATCCAGACTGACAAGCCGTTGTGCCCCTGTGCTTTCTGCTTGTTTAGCCCATGTAAGCTCTAAACCACCAGAGATCAGGATCAGGGTCTGATATTTAGGGAATGATCCTGATCAGTGCCCATCAACATAAAATAAATCTGCCTCCAAATCCCGGGCATTATTCCAGTGTTTCTGTTTCTGGTTGCATTTTTAAAAAGAATGTATTTATTACGGGGTCCACAGGGTCTCACTACACAGATCGGACTTGTAGTGAGATCCTTCCTGTTTTTGGCCTCCCAACACTGGGATGACAGGCCTGAGCCACCACACCCAGGCTCAGTTGCTATCTCAGCATGCCCCAGAGGTGAGGTTGGCACGGTATGCTGGGGATCAAAACCTGGTCCCTGCGCCTGCCTCAGCAGGCACTTCAGTCCGCTGAGCTCTCTGGCTAGCCCTCTGGTTACATCTTGAGTGCTGGGATTACCGGTGTACACTACCATGCCCAGTTTGTTCTTAAATTATGAACCCTAAACTTCTAATCATTGCTGTGCTGATCACTTCATATAGATAGTACCATTTAGTACTCACTCAGCTCTATATTGTGGGCATTTTTATCACGCCCATTTTGCAGATGAAGAAATCTGAGGTTTCTTTTTTCTTTTTTGTATTTTAGGGAAAGGTTCAGGGCCTCACTACTAGATCAGACTCGTAGTGATCCGCCTATTTACAGCCTCCCAAAAGCTGGGATTACAGGCCTGAGCCACCATGCCCAGTCTCAATTGCTGGCTCAGCACGTCCCAGGGACGGGAACCCCCAGCCCCTGCGCCTGCTTACAGGAGCTTTAATCCACTGAGCTATTTGGCTGGCCCAAGCTCCAGCTGTGAGAGTGTCCACTTGGTTAAGCTGGACCCATCCTTCCCCAGCTCCTGACTGGTTCAGTGCCTGCTCTGTGGACACCGCATGACTCCCAGCCTCCCTCTCTTCTCTGACCCTCACCATCAATGTCCAATCCCATCGCTGCTTTAATCTGCTGCCGGGTTTCTCCGCTTGTCGTGGCCTGCAGCATGGCCAACACTGAGGCCACCCCGAAGGGTGAGAAGACCAGGTTGCTGTCCTTGGAGGTCTGTACCACCTGCCGGAACACCTTCACTCCGAAGTCTGTGGCCAGCTGGGCCACCTGGGATTCGTGAGGGTACAAGGTGGACCCTTCCTCAAAGATGAGGGCCAGGCCCAGGATGAGGCAGGCAAGCGCTGGAGACACGTGCATCCTAGGACAAACGGAAGAAGATCTAGTGAGGGAAAGTTCCAGAAGACGTGCCCCCTGAGCAGGGCGAGCTGAGATTCCAAGAAATCGCAACAGGCCAGGGTGCTGAGCCCTCCCTGCCCTACGTCCAGCTGATGCTATCCCTGGTTTGCCCCAGGGAGGCAACTGCCCATCGTTGCCTGTAGGAATTGTGGAAGGACACCCAAGTTCCTCTCCCTTCCCCTGCAGGGGACCAGAGGGCTATGCTATAATGCATGGTGCTTTTTGGTTCACTCCTTGCACGTCCCCAGCTACTGTTTCATTCAAGTGAGAAGCTGACGCCCCCCCAGGCTGAGGTGGGGGAGTACAGCGTCTTGCTGGAAAGGGAACCAAGAGAGCCTAGGTCCCGTTCTGGGTAATGGGTCAGTAGCAGAGCCTGACCACCTTCCTTGGCTCCAGTGTGGTCACTGTGACTACAAACCAAGGCTCCAGGGTTCCAAGGAGAAAAAACAGAGAAAGTGGGGATCTGGATGGAGGAAGCTCTGGGAAGGAAAGTTCTTCGCTGCAAGCCCCAGAAAGAGAGAGGAGTTTGCTCATCTTACCTGGCGTCCTCAAAGGTGCCTGCGACTGGCGACTGGGACTGGTGGTTTGTCCTGCTAGGCAGCAGCTGAGCTGTAGCTCCGGGCTGCTGGCGGAGGGGGTGTGGCTCTCCTTAGACAGCAGTGCCTCGGGTCCTGGAGCCAGGCACAGCTGTGTCCCTCCTGGGCTGCGGCCTCCTTTTATACTAAATGTGAGCAGGAAACAGATGAACTCATGCTCGGCCCCTCCCACTTTCTGGCTCTGGAAGCCCTGCTGGCTCCCTTGGCAACTCCCTCTCCCGGACTTGCTGGGGCGCGCGTGCGTTTGCGTTTGTGCGAGTGTGCATGTTCGAGGGCTTGGGAACAATTGAGCAAACCTTGGTTGCCTTGGCCTAGTGGCCTCCCTTGACTTGACCACCCCCTGCCTGTGCCCTGTCCTGCCAACGTGGTTTCTGGTGGCCCACAGCACCTGGTGTTTGTTTGGAGTTGCCTTCCCCAGGGCTCAGCCTGAGGGAAAACAGTTCGTGTTTTCCTCTCTTCCTTTGGTAAAGGAGGTAACTGGAGTTGTCAAAGATGCTAATGATCTGGAAAATTTTTTCCCCAGTGCTGTTGTCCTGAACCCCAAGCAACCTGAGAAATATTACCCTCCCTCCTCTGTGTCTCAGCCTGGTGGCCAGAGGGACATGCAGTGTGCCCTGTGACTGTCTGGGCTCTGACCGTCTTGAACTTTGTGTTCACCTTGTGCCCTCCGTGCTCGGATGATGCAGGGCTGACTCCCCACGTGCCCAGACTCCCTCGGTACCCCCAGGGGCTCACCTTGTGTCAACAGCCCTGTCTGTCTGGCTGGAGTTTGAGGTGTTTGGGTGCTATGTGGGTGGCTGCAAGGGACAGGAGTGGGGCGTGGGGGGTTGCCATGGTAAACCCTGGGTGAGGAGTTAGGAGCAAGGCGGCTGAAGTTCATTCGAGCCGTGTGTGGTGGCTGTGGAGGCCTCTGCCTGTCGTCCTCCTGGCACAGATTCTGGTGGCTCAGTCATGGGAAGAGGGGTGGGAGAAAGTAGTGTCAGTGCATGGTGGGACTTTGGGGTGCGCTTTAGGGCTTTGGGGTTAGGGGAGGAACAGTGACTGATGAGTTCTGATGAGGGTAGATACTCAGGGTTTTGCAGGGTCAGGCGAGCTGGCCACAGGGCCTGGATGTTGTAGATGGAGGGGAGGCTGGGGGGTACCAAAGGAGCTCTGCAGGGGTGAAGATGGTACACTTGTCCTTGGGGTTCATACACTGTCATGCTTTGTGTAGGTGATGGGATTCTACGGTGGGCAGTTTCCATAGAAACAGCTGATAACAAAGTCATAGGAAGCTTAAGAGGGTGGGTGGTAGTGCCGGGATATTTGTTTTGGAGTTTTCAGTAAATAGCTGCCAAGGGCAACCAGGGAGCCACTGAGCTGCTTTCCCATTGGTGGGGGTGTCAGGAAAGTGGGGAAACCTCAATCGGAAAGTTAGGATCACAGACGCATTAGAAAGAGATGGGTTCCTGTGGGCTGGCTCTTGTTTACATCTTCCTTGTTCTCAGCTGTGTTTGGAAGCTGACAGGAGAGTTAGTGTGGAGGAAGAGACCGCTGCCCTGATCTCTCTGAGGCAGAAGACACAAGTGGGAACCCCCAGAAATGTCCCGTGCACTTTGACCTCTGTTCTCAGGGCTCAGAGGAGTATCTGGGAGTCTAGGCTGGGCATGCTAAGCCCCAGGGACTAGGAGGGGCCATGGGCTCAGTGGTGAAGCAGCAGCACCTAGAAGTGGCCCCTCCAGGCGCCAGCTCCAGGGGGCTCTCGGGCCACAGTAGCTGACCCTCCTCCTTTCCTCTGTCTCTCACCCTTACATCTGACCAGGCCACCACCATAGAGGTCCCTGCTGTTTCCTGTGGATGTCTGAGGGCTGGCCAGGTAGAGACCAAATCATAGACCCAATGCCTTGTGCCATTCCAAGAAGTCACCCTGATCTGAGGGCACGTGGCCAAGGGAGCAGCTCTATGTCTTCTTTGAGGGTAGGGGACACATTTTCTTTTCGAAAGAAAAAGGGTTAACTTACAACGGAGGTTTTCCCAAACTAGGGGGAACAAGTAGGCAGCTGGCAGATGATTACTAGGGACAGAGGCAAAACCCAGTAGAAAATCGTTCTGTGTTCAGTGCCTGACTTTTCCATTGACTCTGGTGAGTTGCTACCAAATGGTCTAGAAGCTGCTCCTGTTCACACCTTGTCCACCCTTGGAGATGGAGACGTGCAGGGTGTCACACACATGGTGCAGCTTCCTGCAGGCTCCCGGGGCTCTTCCCCCAGAGACCTCCCTACAACCCCCTTCTCAGAATCTAGCCTGACTCACTGGGTCATCACTTTCTCTTTTGCCCCTGCACCTCAAGCAGTTTTGACATAATCCCCTCTGTCTGTCAAGCTTTGGCTGTGGTAAGGGATCAGATGAACAGTGAGAGAAAAGTCCCCGATGTCAAAATAACTGGATCTCTGATTTCCGGAAGGGCAGAGATAAGAGAATGAGTTACAGACTGGATTTCTGGGGGAGTTCCAGCTCCAGCTAGCTCGGGAAGATGTCTCCATCTGCCACCTCCACAGGTGGCTCGTGACTGGACCAGACGCGCATTTTCCATGAGTGTCCCTCTCCCCACCCCCCGCCCCGCTATCACGTAGGCATGGCCCCCCGGAGCCACTGTCCTCTGACACCCCGACACTTTGTCACCATCTGCCCTCTTGCCCTTTGCCTGCTCTTTGCTCTTCCTCTTTGCTTCTCTTGCTTTCACCCAGCAGCCGCCAACTCACTGCTGTCCTCTTCACTTTCCCTATGTCCCTCAGGGGCTTCCTCTTCCTGGCCTCCCTTGCTTTCCTTGAGTCTCCTCTTCTCCCCTGCACGAGGTCTTTCCCCACTCCTCCACTCCCTCTGTTCCGCTCTCTGACTCAATCCCCTGTTCCCTCTTCTCGGCCTTCCAGAATCCCTTTTACAGGCAAAGGCTGTGCTCCCAGAGCTTTTCCTGTGGGAAGAGAGCCCTGTCCCATCAGTTACACAGGCTCCCTGGAATGTCGGCCCGGCCCTCTGGCCCTCCGATGCTCAGATGCAAGCTTGCTGGTGATTTTGCTGGGAGAACTGGGGGTGGGAGAAGGCAAAGTCCCGCTAACTCATAGGGCTATTTCTGGCCTGGTGTCACTCCAAACAACAAAGGCCCGAAATAGCCTGCGTTTGGCCGGCAGCTCTGCCCTCTTCAGGAGCAAGTGGGGGTGAGCAGCCTGTGTGTCTACCTCTGCTCCTGGGGCCTCTGCTCCTCCGTCCAGGCCTGGGCCTGTCACCTGGCTCCTCCTCTGTCTCCCTAGCACCCCATCCCTCTGCCTCTTCTCTCCTCAGACCTGCACTGCTCCCCACAACAACCTGTGCGCCCCAAGTTTATATATTCTACTTTCAACCCAAGGAGGCCAGTGAGAATCCTTTAACCCACTCCTGAGGTTCAGAGAGGCTGAGGGACAACCTTATGTCCCACAGCAACAGAACCACAGTGGGAGAATGGCAGTCATGGGTCATTCAGCCTGGCCTCCAGGCAGGAATCTGATGACATCGATATGTGCTGTTTTGCTCGTTTCTTCTTTTAAAATTTTGTTGTTAGTATGTTTGCAGTACATGATAGGTATAGTCACCACGGGATGTTGGTATGCGTACACATGGTGGCTGGGCATTGTGGCACATGCCTATAATCCCAGCACTTGAGAGGCTCAGGCAGGAGGATCACTGTGAGTTCCAGGCCAGCCTGGGCCACAAGGTGAAAATGGCTTAGCAAAACAAAACAAAATGAAACAAAACAAGCAAATAAAAAAACCTATACATATGACCCTTTGATTCCTTTTTTTCTCCTCTTTTCTTCCCTTCTATCTCCAGGCTAGACTGAAGCTTATTATGCATCCCAGGTTGGCCTGGCTGTAAATCTTGCCTCAGCCTCCAACTTTATTTTTAGGCACGTCTTGCCAGGCAAAGTTCTATTACATTTCTGACATTTTTTCGGTGGGGGGGAGGGTTACTGGGCATTGAAGCCAGGATCCAGGGATGTTCTACTACTGAGCTACATCTCCAGTCCTTTTTACATTTTTGAGGAACACTAGGTTTCTCAGACTGGCCTTAAATCTGTCATCCTTCTGTCTTAGCCTCCCGAGCAGCAGGGATTACAGATGCGTGGTGCCCGGCCAACATCTCAGTTCACTTTCCCTCTTTCACTGTGGATCAAACCCAGGGCACTGAGCTATACCTCAGCTTTCTAAACATTTTATTATTGAGAGACGGGCTCTCCTAAATCACTAAATTGCTCATGCTGGGCTCAAACCTGTGTTCTTCCTGCCTGAGCATCCCGGAGACCTAATGCTACTGGCCTGAGCCACCACATCCGGCTCTTTCCCATCTTCTGCTCCCCCCACCCCCATCTTCTTTTGATTCCCTATAGTACTCTAGGTCACTGTAACCAGTCTTAACACATTTGAACCTCCCCTTGTCTCATTGATAGAAGACCTTCACATGATGTAAGGGAAATAATATAGCTCCCAACCTGCTGATGTCTCATGTGCCAAGTTCATGGCCCCCAAAACCAAATAATGAATTCTGAGGAACAACAGAGGTTAGGAGTAGGAAATTTAAAAACAAACGAACAAAGAGCAGGAAGTTTAATTGAGAGACACACAGCTCCTGCCTGAGAGAAACAGGAGGGGATCTGGAAAATGGGTTGCCGTGGACTATACTGAGAAGGATTCATACAGTAAAATCACTAGGTGGATATAACTTGGAAAAAAAAACTACGCTCAACCATTAAGATTACAGGTATAGCTGCAAGGGTGATGCGGGATTCCGTGGGGAAGCAGGTCATATAGCAAGAATGCAGAAAAAGAGCAGGGAACTTTTCTTGGAAAAGATGAGTCAAAAGGCCCTGGTCACTCACCCAGGTGGCTGATGTCTATTTGGAATATTGATCATTATTATTTATCCCTCAGGGAGGTATGCAGGTGTAGTCATTCTGTCTTTATCTTGAGGCCTAGAACGTGCCTCCAGCCACAGTTGTACTGCGTTATTATCTTCTGCGCTGGCTGCTCTGTGGGCCTAGCCCTCTGACTGCCTAGACTATTTCCACCTAACTTAGCTGTCTATAACAG